TTCTTGAGTCTTGTACACCAAGAGACATCCAAGGAAACGAGGGTCTTAATGTCCCCAATAGAAGGATGAATCTCTTCTAGATTTGGACAATCTCTAAGAATCAAAATCTCCAAGCTTTCGAAAGCAGACAAGTCGGGAGTTCTTTTCAGTGATAGACAATTCTCGAGGTTGAGAACTTTGAGCTTGGTTGCCATCTGAAAAAAAGAAATGTTACCTTAATGTCATTGGACCGTTGCAGCTTGTGATTTTCGACTACTCCTTATGTTTTGACTTTTTAGAATTCCTCAAAAAATACCCATGCTCCCCAAATCCTTCACGGTTGTCTTATATAATTTTGGAAAAATTTCAATTTGGTACCCAATGTGGGGTCATTTTCTCAAAAAGGGGTCCAAAGTGGACAAAGTGTCAAATAAGGGCATGAAGTGCCCAATCAGTCTCAAATAGGAGCTCGAAGTGCCCAATTAATCTCAAGTAAGGGCCTAGGTTCGTCGGCCGGTCAAATGCTCACCGGCCGGCGAGTACGTCATTGTTCCGGCGATCGGAATAGGGGCAATTTCATCTTTTACTTTCTTTCTCTTTTTTTTTTTCTCTTTCCCTTTTCCTTTTCTTCTTCTTCTTTTTTTTTTTCTCCTTTCCCTCTGTCGGCCATAGCCGGGGCCGGTGGAAGTGGCTGGCGTCGCCCGACGTCGACGAGGGTCGGGCGAGGGTCGCTTGATGCCGGCGAGGGAAACCCAGGGTCGACCCTTGCCAGATGCCGGCAAGGGCCGCCCTTGCTTGGGCTGGGCGGGCGAGGGCGACCCTCGCCAGATCCAGCGAGGGCGACTCGCCCACCCAGCCCAGGTGAGGGCGGCCCTCGCCCGACGCCGGCGAGGGCGGCCTCCGCTTGAGGCCGGCCACCTCTGCCGGCCCCGGCTATGGCCGGTGGAGGGAAAAGAGAAAAAAAAATGTAAAAGACGAAATTGCCCCTATTCCGATTGCCGGAACAGTGACGTGCTCATCGGTCGGCGAACCTAGGCCTTTACTTGAGATTAATTGGGCACTTCAGGCCCCTATTTTGAGACTGATTGGGCACTTCAAGCCCTTATTTAACACTTTGTTCACTTTGGATCCCTTTTTGAGAAAATGACCCCACTTTGGGTACCAAATTGAAATTTTCCCTATAATTTTAAATGTCGTTTTTAGTAGTGTTTGGCTACGCCAACATATAAATATTTTTTAAGCATATCAATTGCAAAAGAATGTTGGGGATATACAAGTGCCGACTACACATATTTCTGAATAACATTTCAAAGGAAATGTTTACTAATTAAATAGAAGCAACTTTTATTATCAAATAACAGATGACAAATTCAAATGGAAGAGAGATGCATTCATTGGGCCCATGTATTCCTTCAATAGTATGAGATTAAAGAGAAATGACTAGTCTAATTATGAAAATCAATTTTCAAATGTTATACGTACAAGGAAAAAAAATTATATTGAAAATACTTCAATGCCTTCTTTACATCTTACCTTGAGTGGAACCCATCCTTTCCAGTCCTCTGAAATTGCACTATCTGACAGATCGAGTACAACTAATTTCTTCGGATGAAAGTTGGTCGCAGTAAAATCTGAGGAACAACCTGCCCACTGAAGCCATCTTAATTTAGAAAATAAATTTTGGAAATCTCCGGTGAAATTCACATCATCCGCTAGAAGGAACCTCAAGTTGGTCATTTTTTTAAATTGTTTAGCTGTGTATCTTCTTCCCTCACCACATTTGCCAAGAGAAAGTGCCTCAATCTTTCTAGTGCCCTGTAACTTCGAAACATTGTGGACCATAAGTTTTAAATGATGAGATGAGATCAACTGATGTAAAACAAAATGCACTGATTTCAATTTGCTGTCATACTATCATGGCGTAGGCTTCTCCTTTAAATTTTGTGAAATGACACGTTGTGGTCACATACTATTTATCTAATCTATGTAAAGATGAGAAGCTCAAGCGGTTGTTCCGGAAGTTTTCCTCTTCCAATTATGCCCTTCGCAATTTGCACCTTCTAAATTCCCAAAATTTGCATCCATTTGCAATTACAATAGAAGGCCTCTCTTCATGCATACACTAATTCAACTATATCTATGAAAATTCATGCCATTTATTTGTGAAATAACACTACATTTACTCCTATCATGTATTTGTGAACCAATATGACTCTAACAGTCCAAATGCATCCATCAAACTTGCCATCAAAACATGTATCAAAATTAAAGAATCCAAATTGTAGAATGCCCCCATTCTTTCTGGTATAATATGCTTGCAATTCTAAATATCAAAATGAAAATGCGAATGTTATCGCAAAAGGTACCCATGTGTTTTACGTTCCTTTCTTATCATGTGTTTCTTCGCTGAGGGTTTTGCATTGTACGTGGAAGGAATAATATCGAATGTTCTATACATGATTCTTACTTTCTTCTTATTACTATAGATGTTTGACACTATCTTTTTGTTGTCGTGTTGATTTTGTTACAATGTAGTAGTAGTCATCTAAATTTGATCAATTTTCCCATAGATTAATGAGATCTTCCGTATGAACAGATTGGACATGAAGATCGATACAATTGTATTCTTAAGGAACTCTAGTCTTTTACTTTTTTCTTCTGTTGTAACCCAATATTTTAGGAACTCAAATTTGTTTTTGCTTTAGGTAATGAATTGCACCCTGAGCGCAAATCATGAGAGTCAATAATACGGATTTGTCTGGTGGTTTCAACGTTTCCTTCAAACTTGTATTCCTTCAGATGAGACGCTACTTCTTTTTACATTATAAGTTTTGTTTGTATATTTATTGTATTTTTGTCAACAACTTCATAAATACCTTTTTTTTTGCACTTTTGAGTAGTGTTCTATTCAGTTGATTACATTTTCCTTCGTGGAAAAATATGCTCTCTGGAAAGCATTGGTAGCATTTTTTTTCAATAGTCTTGTTATTTCATTTTGTTTTGCATCCCAATGTTTATATTTAGTTTTTCTTTATTAACGATACTTATGACATTTGCACATGCTTGTTTGATGCTTGTACAAATCATCCACATATTATAATTGCTTTTAGTGGATTACCTTTTAACTTTCATGCTAATAATGAAAATTAATCATCACACAAAATTAAAAACCACATTTACTTGAGTTAATAATACCAAAAATCCCGAACTACTAGACTTGTTCCACATTTACCCCTCACTAATTTTCATGTCCCAAAGAATCCCAAACTGGTTGACCCATGTCACATTTACCCCGAAGTAGTTTTCCTTTCACAAAAATAAGATGATGATATAAATGCTAACTAATTTTTTGCTAAATAAAATGCTCACTAAGAGTTGAACAATAAACAAAAATTTATTATAACATCGTACAAAAAGAATATCGGGAGATATTGTTTTGCTAGAAAAGAGAATATTGGGAGATTAAAAGAAAAATCATCCATCATCACAAAAATAAAATGTATTAGCAGATTCATAGAAAGAAACTATCCACTATTATGAAAAGTCTGTACAACAAAAATAATATATGTTTAAAGGGTTATATTACAACAAAAATAATATATGTTTAAAGGGTTATATTACATGGTTGCTCATATATCATAAATAAATACAAATGCCATATCAACAAATTGATGGTGTCAACTAACGATTGACCACAAAGGACTTGATTGCACAAAAAAGTGAAAGTTGGAGGACCATATTGAACAAATACAAAAATAGATGGGGGACTAAATTGCACAACCAATAATACTTAGGGGATACACTTAACCCCACTTAAAAAATACAGGAACCAAGATAGCTAAATCGTGACAATTGAATGGAGGTCTCACTTATCGTACTAAAACAACTCATAAGAAGTCAATACTAAGTAAAATAAAAAAGAAAGAAAAGACCTATCAAGAAACCAAAAGACGAATCCAAACATCAAATTGCATTAAACAGATACGTTGGAAAAGTATCGCCGGAACAATCTATAAATGTTAGGTTTTCTCTAAAAGTACTTTGTCTTGTAGTTTTGTTGTTGCATTGAAGTTACCAAAAGGAGAGCATCCTACTACCAGGTAAAGATATATACCAATCGTCCATAACCAAGAAATTACTCCTCAATTGTGTTCTAGAATCAGGCAAAAACAACAATTAACCAAAAGAGCTCTTTTGTGGTAGAAGCAGCAAGATGTGGGGACTCAAGACTCACAATTATTTTTATCTCAAACAAGAAAGGGGAGATGGACCCATATTCATTGACTAAGGCAAGTAGAAAAAACTCTTACCTTGCTGTTGTCAAGTACATCTAGGTTTGCGTCATAGATCCACAATCTGCTACGGTCTCGTGGCTCATTTGGATTTTCTAGACGAACAATTTCCCTTCCAAGATCTCTCAGTTGATCATGCATCATTAACTTGCCGTCTTTGTCAACTTTAATTAGGGACATAAGACTCAATACTTCAATCTCCCTCTCCGGAAAAAAATCACAGGCATCCCACATGTAAGTTGGATTTTGTTTACATGATCTAATGAAAAAGCATGCAATATCCAAAAATATCTATTTCTGCTCATGATCTAATGCTTCGTAACTTATCATCAATGTCTCTTGCACTTTGTTATCAGGCATTTTCTTTAATTTTTTTAATGTATCTATCCATACTTCTCTTTTCTTTCCACATAAAAATAAACCTACAACTTCAAGAGCTAATGGAAGCCCTCCAGTAGTAGATACGACATCACGAGAGATGACCCCATAATCACTATGAGGAAAATCCTTTCGAAATGCGTGTCTACTAAATAAAATCAATGATTGATCCATAGACAACTCATTGAGTGGGTATTTGTAGCCTGTCTTAGCATCATCGAGAATGCTTTGGTCTCTGGTTGTAATGGCGACTATACTTCCTGCTCCAAACCAACTACCATCTTCGACCAAAGCATTCAAGTGAGCTTTAGCATCGATATCATCGAGAAAAACTAGGACTTTCTTACTTGTAAATCGAGATTTGATGACACCTATTCCCTCGTCAACATTAGACACATGACACGAACTTCTGATTATATCAGAAATTAGTTTGTCCTGTATGCATTCAATACCCTGGCGTTGAGATGTTTCTCGAATATTTGCCACGAAGCTACGATACTCAAAATGACTAGAGAGTTTGTTGTACAACACCTTTGCTAGAGTCGTCTTACCGATGCCGCCCATTCCATAAAGTCCGATAATCTTTGTATCATTAAATTTATCATCTATCCAGCTCATAATGTCATCGATACGATCGTCAATTCCAACCAACTGTTGGGGAACAGTTAGCTGAAAAGTTCTTTTTAACTCGCTCATAACTTTTGTGACAACAATTTTGACCAATGCTCCTTCATGCTTGTCAAATAACGATGAATTTCAGCACAGGAGGGAATATGTATATTCTTTTTCAAGAAAGATCTATATGTGAAAAATAAACAACAATTTAGTGGATGTTAATGTACCCATTTTCAATTTTCTCCGATTCCCATCCTTTCAAGGATTTGACTTCTTTGAGCGCTTCTTCCCATTCCTTTACATCCATTTCGTCCAAATTCTCTTTATGGGCAACAATAGCATCTCCCAAGCCCCTTTTAAGATGTGAGGGTTGCACTTTGTAAAATATGGGCAACACTATTTGCCCTCTGCTTCTCTTGCACTTCAACATTTGAACCAGCTCACAAAGGCACCATTTGCTAGAAGCGTAGTTCTTAGAGATAATTGGGATCGAGATCGTGGACTGTGTAATGTTGTAGAGAAGCTCCGGACCAATCTCCTCACCAACACGGAGCTCATTGTCATCTCTGAATACATGAATTCCTGCACTGATAAGGCTAGTATAGAGATAATCAGTGAAGTTTTTGCGAGTGTCTTCCCCTCTGAAACTCAAGAAAACTTCATAATCATTTCCCTTTGGCCTTTTGGTTCCGTCTTCATAATCACCTACGTGTGGAGTGGTCCATGAGGAAGACACCTCATAGATCGGATCTTCTGAAGGAGTGGGTTTTTGTCTTTTCATCTCGAGAGGATTGTAAAAGAGATTGATGGAGAAGGAAACAGGGGAGAAATATGGATTCCCAGATCTGGGAATAGCAAAAGTGTTTCGCAGGACTCAAACTCAGATCTAATTCAAACAACAATAGAAACTCTCAGACAACTCATCAGAAAAAAAGGAGCAATCAAAGCAGGAAACGGAGAAGGGCGAGGAGTCGTCGACCACCTGAGGAGTGTTCAAACAACACAACCCGATCCTCAGCCTTGGACGTTGGATTAGCAACACACAACACTCTCTACTATGCGTGCTTGAACAATGATGATTGCTGACCGCTTAAAGAATGCTGAGTTATTGCACGCGTAATATTCGCAGCATTATGCGGAAGTTTCGGGGAAGCTATGCAGGTGCTTCTTGACTTGACTTGCTTTTCCTTTTAACAAAAAAGTAGAAAAGAAAACCGACTTGCAACAAAGATGCTCCTAGTCCTTGCTCTTTCTACTGTGCGCGGTTGAACGATCTGACTGCTTGAGGAATGTTGAGTTATTGCACGCGCGATTTCGTCAGCATTATGCGGAAGGTGCCACTGCGTGCAACCTACGCAGGTGCTTTGATTGAAATTGGAGATCCAATAGACTTGACTTGACTTGCTTTTCCATTAATAAATGGAATTGTCGGGGAATTGTAATGGGAAGGTGAAGCGAGCAAGACACCAGGATAACATTGCTACACGCTAAAACGGAAGGGGAATGAAATGTGAAGCACAAGCTGGGCAAGGAGTTTGGGGAATTGGTGAGACTGAGCAGGGAATCTCTGGAATTTAGTAGTGAATTTCGGTAGAGGTTGTGGAGGATCAACATGAACAGTTCCAAAGCTAATTTAAAGACTTGGACAAATGCATTTTGATCATATGCTCTCACCTGTACCTGTAATTGAAATCCGTTCCGCTCCTATGAAAAATCCGTGTTGACATAATTTTTTCTAGACTGTTCGTAGCTCTCACTCGTAGCGGGCTAACCTTTTATCCATTCACTTTGACAAATGTCGGGCTAAATTTTATTCATTTGTCGGTCGATTCATTCTAGGAATTTGTTTGCAACTGGTTCCATATCAAACGGTAAGGATGGACTTTCGAGATTTTCATAAGAGGATTTTTACGTAAAGAAATCGTAACTATATCTAGTAGATGTTTACACGCACAAATAGAACAACACTTTATATATGGAATGGAAATGCTTGCTAAAAGTAAAAATCGAATATGGGTCATTGCCTAAACATCGGTTGTTGAATTGCATGTATGTCGTTGTATGTAAACCCCGCTAGTGAAATTATTTCTTGCATTGCCTATTTAAATGATGAAATGAATGTTTGGTTTCTTTTGAATGACAGCAGATCTATTCAGGTGCTACGTTTTCTCAAATGTCACACATTCAGCTCGTTTCAGTTTCAATTTCATGACATTTTCCATGAAAATCACTTGGCAAATCGCACCAGAAAAGGTCATGAAGTGACCGTGAATTTGTTCCCATAAAATGCAAGATACTTCCTAGGGTTTTGGGTTGAGCTTCCTTGAAACCCTGGTCACCTCATCCACCAGTAGGTGCTGTGCTCACCTTTATTCTGTCATGTGAATGTGGGGACCTCAATATGATAATGATTCTGCGACGTTCAAGAAAATACAAAAGCTGTCGGCTCAGACCCGCAAAAGAGAATCCACGGCAAAATAAAAAATTCCAGGCCCATGATGGCAAGCACTTCGGTGACTTTTTTCCACTCCCGCTGAAGTTAAAACACTCCCTGTTACATTGTTTTGACAATATTAATTTTCGTAGATCTCACTTTTTCTAAGCATCATTTATTTGGTTGTGGTGTCCCGTGTTCTTCTTTGTCTTCTCCCATGGGTCCCATTTTCCTCCTTTTACTTCTTCGTTCCCTCTTAATTCTAATTGATTCTAATCATGGTTAGTATCTGTCCAAAAAAAAAAACAAGACTCCCTTTTTGGTCTACTTTGTCACTTTGTCTAGGTCACGCACTCATCAACTTTTGAATCTTTAACCAAAGATTGATACCCAGTAACACAATAGACCTAAAGGCTCTCGCAACTAACTTCTTAATAGCGATCAGAACACGGGGATCAGAATAATTGACGGGCTCGAACTTTGAGGGCCGCCTTACCACATAAGGGCTCAAACTTGAGGGTCGAGTTCGCAATCATCTCTTCAGCCCTCTCAATCACTGGTGATGGCGGCTCGGTGACCGAGATCAGCATGGAAGTTGAGGAGACTGCGGGAGTGACGAGGGGCAAATCCTTGTCGGTTTTCAGGATAGGATTATTGTTCTTGATTGTGGCATTTTTGGTTTGCATAAACAACTCAGTGAGAGCAAGGGCGAATTTGAGCCATGGATATGGAGGCTGGTAGGTGATGGCCAATTGACGATGACGCTGACGATCAGGATGAAGACGGAGAAGCAGACATTGCTAATGAGCTTGATGTGGATTTGAGTGAGGGTTTCAGGTCCTGGATTTGAATCTTTAATGCGGGTTTTTCTTGTTTTCGTGATTGATCAATCGAAGAGTTCGATGCGAAATGGAAAAAGAATAACATAGAGAGCAAGATGGACGGAATGGGGGCGAAGAGTAAAGAGATATAACATGATTTTTTTACTTACAATTATAAGCTTTGAGTTGAAGAAATGTAGGTGGAAGAGGACTAGTTGGGTGATAAGGAAGTTTCTGCAAATTTGGGCTTCAACTCCATGAGTCGCTAGTGTCGGTGATGGACGGCTTTTTTTGTGCCGGTGACGGATGTTGGGGTGTAAAAAACTCGTCAATTATTGGCGTGAGAGGGGTGTTTCAGAAATAGAGAGAATAGAGAGAAATAAATAAGAAGAAGGAAAGTGGCACAGAAAAAAAGAGAGAAAATAAAAGCAACTTAGAAAAGGTGGAACCCATAAAGGTTGATATTGTCAAAATATTATGACAGGGAGTGCTTTAGTCATAGTGGAAGTGGAAAAAAGAGCAAACCTTTACTAATTGGACTCCTCTTATTATTCGCTTTAGTCTCCAAGCAAGTTGTGTGTGGTAGAATCCCTTTTTTTTTTTTTTAACTAGTCCATTAGTTGGCCTATAATCTCCTTTGCGCCGTCAGATCCTCCTCCCCTTAAAACAAATAGACAGCAGAAGCTAGAAGAGGAGGGAAACAAATGGTATTTGGATGATTGAGTTGCTAGGTCGCGTGACATCTCAGCCTTCCAAGGGTCAACTTCACATGTTCGTCTCCATGACATGTTTTGCCACATAAACATATACATCGATTGTTCATCAGAGCATCTTGTGGATGATGGTTGATGCTCGTCAATTGGATGTCAAGTGAAGTTCCATGCAAAAAAGATCTTGTTAGTAAGCAAGCACCGTTGTGATAAAGGAAAAGTGCTGTGCTTGGATACATGGAGGAAAGGAAGAGAGAAGGATTTTGAATTTCCCTCTTACGTCTTCTCACCAAAGTTACAAAAATTTACGTCATTTTCCTCTTCTTACCCTCCTTCCCAAATAAAGCATTAAGGCAGTACCTCGGAAAATCGAAGCATAGATATGGAAAGATGAAACATAGAATGGCCTTGCTTTCTTCTCATTAGACTGTTTAGCCAAATAAGGCCTCAAGTTACAATATTATTCCTCGTACCTGTAGGAATATTGAATAAATGTAGATTGGTGATATGAACAGGAAAATTGCCCTTATTGAATATCAATTCGGGTTGGTTTCTGCAAAATGGCGAAAGTGTTACATACGAGTCCTTCTTGAAGGGGCAAATTCAAATAGGAGCAAGCAGGCAACAGCAAGTTATAAAATTTGGCTTTATTTTGACCAAGAAAAGAAATTACAACTACATACATGAAACCAAACTTGCCTAAATCATGAAATCGTTCTTGTCGTGCTCTAAGATACAGGACTCCCATAAAATAATTGTCATGTCATACTCGAAGCCTGGATTTGACAATGATTACTGATCTTTTCACGTTGTTTTCAAATGCTCAATCAGATGCAAAAGTTACTATTTACATGCCTTTTCCATTGAATTAAGGGTTAATACCACGAAAAACCTTAAACTGGTACACTTGTGACACATTTACCCCAAACTATTTTTTTGACACCTGTGACAATATTACCCCGAACAATTTTTTTGACCACCAAAAACCCCAAACTGGTACACCTGTAACAATTTTACCCTGAACTTACCACAGAAAACCCCAAACTGGTACATATGTGACAATTTTACCCTGAATTAAATTTTTAATATTATTTTTTATTTTTTCGAATTTTTATTAATTTTTTCTTTTTTTTCTTCATCTTCAACCTTTGGCCGGTAGCCGGACCGGCGACTGGCTAGAGGCAGAAGCCGGCGAGGTCGGCCCCGCCGGCCGCTTGCGAAGGCGGCCCTCACCAGATCCAGCGAGGGCAGCCCTCACTCGATCTGGCGAGGGCGACCCTCGCCTGCGTCGGGCGAGGTTTGCCCTCGCCGGCGTCGGACGAGGACAGCCCTCGCCGGGCGGACGAGGACTGCCTCGCCTGGGCGGGTGAGGCGACCTCACCGAGTCTGGGCAAGGGCCGTCCTCACCCGACGCCGCGAGGGCGAGCCTCGTCGGCACGAGCAAGGTCGCCCTCGCCAGATCCGGCGAGGTCGAGCCTCGCTAGATCCGGCGAGGGCCGCCCTCGCCTGCGTCAGGCGAGGGCCGCCTCGCCGGCGTCGGATGAGACGGCCCTCGCCCGGGCGGGCGAGAGCAATCCTCGCTCTGGGCGAGCGAGGGCGACCCTCGCCTCGAGTTGGGCGACGGTTGTCCTCACCCGACGCCGGCGAGGGCAGCCCTCGCCCATGCCGGCAAGGTCGAGCCTCGCCAGCGGACAGCGGGCCAACCTTGCCGGCATCCGCCTCTGGCCGGTCGCCGGTCCGGCAACCGACCAGAGGTTAAAGATGAAGAAAAAACAATAAAAGAAAAAATAAAAAAATTCAAAATAATAAAATATAATATTAAAAAATTAGTTCGGGGTAAAATTGTCACGTGTGTACCAGTTTGGGATTTTTTGTGGTAAGTTCGGGGTAAAATTGTCACAGGTGTACCAGTTTTGAATTTTTTGTGGTCAAAAAAATAGTTTGGGGTAAATGTGTCACAATTGTACCAGTTTAGGATTTTTTGTGGTTTTAACCCTTGAATTAAATCCCAACTTACATTTTATCATCACTATTATCCCCGTGATAGCACAAATGTGCTACTTAACTCTAAGTTTTGTAACATAAAACCTAAAGTGAGGGAAGTCCCAAGCCTTATTAAAACTTAAATTGAGGTCACTCTCTCTCGTCCAAGTCACTTTTAACTCTCTCCTTAAATTTACAATTTGCAACATTTTACATATATTTTATTCTTTCAGTGTTGCATTTAGAAATTCTCAACCAACAGGTTCTCCACAATCGAGTAATTGTTCAGTGATA